CCTGGCTCCCCCATCCCATCACCCACCGGAGTCCCAAGTGCTGGCATGTCCCTGCAGCCCCCCGCCGACTCCTTCCAGCCAGGCCAAGCCCCTGCCGCACCAGAGCCTGCTCCGACCTGCCCAGCTCCGCTGGGATTTTCCTCCCTTGCAGGTCCAGGCAGATGAGGCACCGTCAGAACCTTTTCCCTGGGAGGCAGTGGTGGGGTCAGCATCTGCCCCCCCATCCTGGCCACGCTCTGCCAGCCCGCGCTGAGCCCCACCAGGCACCAGTGAGGTGGAGAACCCACCCTGGGCTCCACCACAGCCCCGACGAGCAAGCACGACTGCTCTCAGTTGTGCCAGCACACAGCGGTGCAAGGAAACTGGGCTGAGTGCTGGCAGAGGAACCAAACCTGCAGCAGCTGCAGCCAAGAAACTACAAAGAAATGGCTTTATTGGGTGGCTGAGAGCCCCAGTCCGGCCTGGGAGGGAGAGGGCTGCCCCAGGGAAGGGGCAGCAGGACATCAATTCCTCTTCCTGCCTTTGCCAACAGCTTTGGCGGGTGCAGCGACGGGTGCTGCAGACTGGTAGAGGGTGGAAGAGATCTTGTTGATGTAGTAAAGGCCAACCATGGAGAAGATGAGGCTGCAAGGAAAGAAGAGAAGAGGCTGCTCAGCTGCTGGCAAGCAGGAACACACCAGGGCTGAACCGACACCTTCCCCTTCACTCCTGTTGTGCTGTGGTGCCTAACATTGGCCTTACCCGGTGCCCTGTTCCCCTCCCAATGGCAAGCATGAGCCATCAAGGTCCCTGGCAGCGGCCACAGCGGCACAACGGCTGCTCCCCACCCTCCAGAGCAGGCTCTGGACTCACCAGGTGGTTACACAGACTCGGTGAATGAGGCCAGAGGCAAAGAGAGCCAGCAAGAGACAGGTGAGGACTGCAGGGAAAAAAAACAGGATAAAAGATGCATCCATGCTGACCCAACACATCAGCCTCAGAGTAGCGGGGTCAGGGCCACAGCGATGCAGCAGGACAAACCTACCAGCAGCACGGGAAAAGCTCAGGGGGTACTAGAGGGCAGGACCTTCCTCCAGGCCAGGGCTGGGACCCTTTGGTCCCACAGGCAAAGCACACGTGAGGCAGGGCCACGCTGCAGCCCTTTGCAAACCCAGCCCTGCTGCAGGCCGGCACACCTGACACCTTCGAACAATGATGCGC